TGTAAAATTATGGTTTATTAACGTCTACACCTACCTAAACCCACCCTTGTAATGCAAATACAGTAATTATGTTACATTCCCGGTTGTGGCTGGAAGGGATACAGCTATAGGAAACCAACAATAAATATTTTTTTCTACATATAAAATTGTGTTTTATTAAAGAATCTTATCTACACCTACCCAAACCCTAAACATACCCTTACAGTAATGCAGATACATTAAATATAGTTGTTTAGCGTGAGAAAAAGGACACAATATTGATGTGCGCATGCGCAGTAAACCCTGGTAGGACAATCTGACAGGTAGGTTAAAATGGCAGGACACCTGTTTATAACAGCAAAAGAGGAAAAAGAACGGGTTGAATGTTAACCACTTTCGTTTTCATATAACTATAAACTATGATAAAAGTTCATCAGCATGCACTGACTAATCCCATGTTGTGTGTGTGTGTGGGGGGGGACGTGCTCAAAAGAGCGACCAGCGGGAATAATGAGTCTGGAGCCCTGAATTGCCCAGCTCCCCCTGTCAATGATCTAGCACCCCCTCAGCACCTGCGTTCAAAATTCTCTGGCACTGCCCCTGCCCAACCTGTATCCCGAAGCTCTCAACATCCCAGTCATCATCTTTCTACCGTACACAGGGCCGCAAAAAGTAACTGCTGATCGAACGACTGCATCCACACCATCTCTCCCTAGCCGCGCGTAATCAAAACAATTAATGTTCCTTGATGTGCAGAATTTAGACATGGAGGAAATACTGGAGCCTCTCCCTAGTCTATATTGCTGCTGTAGGACGTCTTGAACTTGTTTGCATGTGTATCCCAGCTCCTCTACTAACCTGCAGATTACACTTTCGTAATCATCAAACACACTCCACTCACACATCTTCCAGAAAATCTGTGGTTGTTAACGTGCAGCCACACAGTTAATGGAGGTCTGATGATAAATTATTGCATGGTCAGACGTGCCAATGCATAGGCATAGGGCCTATACATACAGCGCTCTGGGTAAATACATCCACATCCACATCCCCCCACTGGTACAGTCCAACCGGGAGCGCAAAACAGAGAAGTGGAAAATCAGAATAATTAAGTAATTTTTTATGTTATTCAAAAATCAGATTCGAGCGCAACAACCCAAACTCGTAAAATTGAAAATTTAAATGAGAGACAATTATCCGTTTGTAAATTGCTTCAAAGAAATTGAAAATTAAAGTTTGAAGCCAACTTTTCATTTGGTTAATTTTGATGGTGTGAATTGAACAAAGAACGTCTCAGGTTACTTATGTAACCATGGCTCCCTGAGTAGGGAATGAGACACTGCGTCCTCTAGGGATCGCTATGGGGAACGCCTCGTCATGACCCGTGTCTGAAGCATACATTGAAAAGACACCAACTCGTTGGCCGGCGATAGCCATGACGTCACTACCGGTGCGACTATAGTATAAATAAGTGCCGGGAGCACACATTATTCACTTCTTCGTCTGAAGCTTGCGTCCGCAGCATGGCAAGAAACCTAGAGGACGCAGTGTCTCGTTCCCTACTCAGGGAACCATGGTTACATAAGTAACCTGAGACGTTCCCTTTCATGGGAACTTCGAACTGCGTCCTCTAGGGGTCGCTATGAGGAATGGTATACCCGCGCCACCATGCTGAGGGGCGTGCATGCCAGAACCATGGCGAGCACTAAGTACCAACTCTACCATATTGCTATTCTAGGGGTTCTCGTGACACCCTGAAAGAGCAGCCCATAGATAGAAATAGCGTATCCCCAAACGCTATGTCTAAGACTATAATGCTGGAGTGACTAGCAGTAAATCTGTAGCTGAGGGAGCAAACATCCAGCTCTCAACGAGAGGGAGCTAAACCTACAGCATGTTCCAATGGTGGAATAGCTAGCAATTATTCAGCTGAGGGAGCAACAAACCTAGTTCTCAATCCGAGAAGGGGGCTCGACCTACAGCATGTTCCAATGCTGGAACGGCTAGCAGTAGTTTACCTAGGCTGAGGGAGCACAAACCCAGCTCTCCCGAGAGGGGGCTCGACCTGCAGCATGATTGTAAAATCAGAAGGGTAAGCATACTGCAAGCTAGCCAAACAAGTGAAATAAACACTGCAAGTCGAGCACCCGGTTTCTGAACAGGTCCCGGGAAACACTGCAAAGAAACTAGCAGAGGTTAACACACAACCACCAGTTTCATTAGATACACATATATATTCATATATACATATAATTTAGACATGGATTGTACTCACCCACCATGGTTCCCGCGTCTTAGCTCTGTCCGGAGAAGCCTCTAGACCGAACCATCAGTAAGGTGGTTACTATGATGCCATAGAACCAACCAAAAACATCATAGGTCCAGTAGGAGACTGTTATGCAGGAAGCTTCCACCTAACCTCAGTCAGGTGAAGAGATGGTGGTTACAGGGGAATTAGGAAGGGGAAGAAAAGGGTAGATGTTACACCCCCTGAGGGAAAGATGTTACACCCCCTGAGGGAAAGAGTGGATACCTAAGTATTACTCTGATCCGGATGAAAGCGCTGACGTCTTGTCTGGTTCACATCCCTCAGGTCTTGCCTACCTCCCTTTGACCCACGATACTTCCTACCCCTAACCGCAGGTGGAGGAGGAGCGCGAGTCGCGACACTAGCCTTCTGTGCTCGTCTCTGATCCTCAAACCGAGACGGGTCAGGACCCCTGGGTTGTTCGGGCTCAGACCTGGACCTTCGTGGAATGAAGGTTTTGAAGGCCGCTGAGTGCG